CAAGTGAGGAGCCTAAGGCCTTCAGTTTGGTTTAGATTGTTGGAAGATGCCTCAGTAGGAGTCTTGACAGAGCCCCCAGCTTTCACAGAATGATTCATGGATACATCACATTTCCCAGAAACAATCAGTTCCTATGAGGACAGAAATACTCAGAAAACCAAGAAACCACACAATACTTGTATTGATTTGTACACACAGTGTCAGCCAGCTCTAGCTGTACCTTGAAATGCCATTTTTGTATCTGCATGGTAGGTGGAATAGGTACTAACAACTGAACAGCAGTCTGTCCCATATCCTTCAAAAATGCTTAATGAAGAATTTGTTTCATTTTCTGACCAGAAGATCTGCCAAAAGCAAGCTTCTTTCTATTACTGAAATGTTTATGCTAGACTGCACACTGAATAATGTCTAAGAACCAGCCTGAGATTTGAAGTGTTATGGTTTTTCTGTCTGTTTGAACCTCTGACTTCCTTGGACATAAAAGCAAATACAGGTTCAATCTCCTATGCAAATAAGCTCAAATGTTAAGCATTTAATATGAAAAATAAGAATGTATGTCTGCATATGTCTTTGCAGGTGCATAAATTTGTACGTACTAATTAGAAAATTTTTCACAGTCGTGGAGCTTTGTACAGGACAAGAATAAATAGGACAGCAGCATCTTTACCTCAGTGTGTTCCCTCAGCTCTGAGAGCTGCTCTGTCCTGTGCCAGCTCCTGGTGTTACAAGGTACCAAGAAGGCAATTTGTGAGCAGATGACTCATCCACACTTGGAATTGCCTGTGGCAGAGTGGGGTGAGCAGCACAGGTAACAATATGTGCATATATTCTCTCTGAAGGCTTTGGAAGGCAGAGGAAACACTTGAAAGGGTAAACAGAGTAAACACTGTCCTCCGACAGCAAGATGAACATGAAGGAATACCAATCTGGCAGGCACTCCATTTACACAGAACTGTACAATCTTAAAACTATTTGCCTCATACCTCTGCTGTATATTCCCTGTAAAAATAATTAATTCACTGGGAAATAAAGATTGTAAAAAGAAAAGCCAACAAAACCTTGAAATGAAAGCTTTTCCCACAAAGCAAGAACAATTTTAAAATAAAGTTTCCCTATGACCCTTGAGTTAATTTATAATCTCATCCACAGCATAAAATCTTATTTCTTCTTATATATATATAGGTATGTAGATGCTGAACAAAAATAAATGGGGGATGCGTTTCTCTGTCAGGGGCTGAACAGATAGCAGGTATCAGACTAAATGCAAATATGAGAGAATCAATTGCTTGTAAACTTTGTGCCAAATTTGTCATATTTTAACTTCCTAGTTGCCACAGAAACTTCAGCCAGACTATTTTCATTTCAAAATGCCTCAATTTCAAGAAGAAAACAAACACATTTCTCAAGAAGTTTTCAGCTGTTGCAAAAGATCTAATTTTCAACAACAGTATTCCCAAATGAATCAGAAATCTCATTTTTCATCTCAGTGCTAATGACACCCTACAAGGTGATAAAATTAGCAGCTGGAAAGTGTAATCTTGCCACCACACTTCTCAATTTGCCATTCACTTTTTTCAAGCCTGTTGTTCAGCTCTTGCGATTTTCTCAACAAATTTCCAAATTGTTTGTTTAATTAAAAGTCCAAAGCATATGTTGCTGACAAGCCTTTTATAACATTTTCATTATTCTCATGAGAGCTTTGTCTACCAAGAAACATCTCTTGCCGTCTCCATGATCACTATTCCTTTTTAAAGTGTGCTCAGTTCACTTATAAAGTTCTAATTTCCAACTGATTTTCTCAGATATGCTTATTTTCAAACTGGTTTGATAATCAGCCTCATACAATTTGCTGGTTTGATCTTCTCTGATAGAGAAATTTGTACAACTGATAGTGTGAACATTTCATAAACAGAAAACAAACACAAGAGTACTCCTTGGTGCAGAGAATTTCCAAACTGCTGAGAAGCGGAATATATCTGTTTCACTCTTGAAAGTTTCACATCCACACAAAGAAAACATTAACAGAAATTTCAAGGTAAATTAGCTCTAACAATCTGTCCAAAGCTTATTTCAGCTCCTGAAACCATCCAGCTCTGTGACAGCAAAACCCCTTCTACTGCCTTTACCAAGCAAAGGCTGCTTTTAGCATTTTAGAAAGTAGGCTGGAATATTTTGAGAGGTTTAAAGATTTTTTTTAATGTCTTTCACTCTAACTGCAAATTTCTTATGAAGAATATTATCATTATTTTCCTGCAGAGAAATCCCATACTGAAATTATAGAATTTATTGAAAGAATGCAGCCCACTGCCCAAGTTTCCTGCTCTGCCATCAGAGATCCTTCCTGCCATGCAAGAATTGCTGGGCTAGACCCAGAAGTGGGATAATAACAGACCATGAGGGGAGTCCAGAGAACATCCCAGCCTGGGATGTATCCCAACCTGGTCCAAAAAGCAAATGTTAAACTCCCCAATTTCCAGGTAAAGGGAAAAAAAAATTCTATCTCTCTGACTCACATCCTAATCTACGCTTACTGAAAGAGACAAATAGTTTGTGTTTTTGCACAATAGGAGTCTAATCTGGAACAGGGTGCTATTGAAGAAAAGGTAATTGACAATTATGCAATTAGCAGAAAATGCGGTTTACCTAATTCACAATAAAACAAGGGAACAAAAGAAGGAAGGAGCGGTTGGTGGCCCCATGTAGCACTGGCCTTTTAATACTCAGGGGATGCTTATTAAAAGAAGCTGCAAAAATAAACCTTTTAAAAGAAGACAAATTGGAAGTGTTCTATTCAGTTGGGGGATGCTGATGGGACACAGCATATGCTTAATTTTATAAAGTTAACTCTTCTTGCACATTTTGTGAAGGAAATTTGAATACTCCTGTTAATATTTTGCCAGGACTTTTTTCCTTTATTGAAAAAGGAACAGGACATTATGCCGAGAGGAGATGCAAGATAAAACACAGAACATAAACCCCTTAGAAGTAAATAAAGTGATCCAATGGGTCCAGAAAAATAAAAGAGAAGAAATAAGGAGCCCTAAACTTTTAAGTGTATTTTCATATTTAATATTAATGTGAGCATATTTACAAAGATGAATATTAATGATGTTTACATGCTAAGTACAGTTTTAATATTCTGACAAGAGTGATGCACTCAAATAACTCAAACATGTCTCAGATTTAATATATGTGAAAAATAGGGTAAAGTTTCAAATGGTAGATTTTAATCAAGACCAGAGAGAAGAACATAACCCCAGAAGGTTCTGATTTGTTGAATTCACTTTTCTTCTTTTCCCTGGTCCACTCAGTATTTCACACAAACCTTTGATTTTTCATAGATGCAAAAGTATTGTCCATGAATAAATTAATGCAGATAAGTGGTTCTGAATATTAACAAACATCCTGAGCTACACCAGCCCATGGTGAGTTCACAGAATTCACATTGGTGTATTCAGAGAGCACTTCCAGGGACCCTCATGAGCTCATGTTTCCAGCTGTTTAAAGGCAGACCTGGAGCTCTGGCAGAATGCAGAGCCCACCTATGTGGATTATATCACAACACTGCCCATGGCAAAAGGGAAAGGGACTCAATGACAGAGGGTATCTTGTATTTTTAATTACATTATTGAATTCTCCTGGTTTTGTAGCATCACATTCTCTCTAAAACACAAAACTTGAGCACAGAACCCTCGTGTCGGTCTTAATCTAGTTTTACTCCTGAATAAATATATGATTTTCCTAGTTTCAAGGGATTACACTTTTCCATTTCTTGACAGTTAAAATGTTTTCTTAGAAGCTGAGAAAATGAGGTTTATGCAACAAAATATTATGAAAAAAATTAATTTATTTGGGTGTATTTATCAGTCCCTCTGTATTACCATGTAAAGAAAATTGACTCAATTCCTTTTTTTACGGAGTAGCTAAATGACATAAGTGTTACATCATTCACTGTTTTCTTCAGAAGCAATAAGGCGACACAAAAAGCTGGAGCAGCATGAACTTTTTTTCCTTTAGGGCAGACTACATTAACACACTTACTGAAGGAAGGGACAGTAATGACCCAGCCAGTACTTATCAGGACAAAATTAGTAATGATATATAATCCCAGTGGTTTAAAAGTAAGGAGTTCCAGTTCTAACAAAAGTCCTGGTAATGCCTTGGTTTAAAGTCTGAGCAAAATCTGTGTGTGTAACCCTCCAAAACAGCTTAGTATTAACAAAAACAAATAAAAAAGAAAAACAAACAAACAAATCTAGAAATCTGAACCAGAACCAACTTTTTGTGTCTAATGTTCAGATACCAACGTTTACATACTGGACATCTCTGCATAATTCTGAAGAACTGATCAACAGGAAAACTGTTGAGAAAGGTTAAAATCCCCAATAAATTGCAAACTGTTGGGTTCCCCCCCCCCCCCCCCCAAAATTCTAATGATGTGGAAGCTGCATAATAATCTCCCTGTGAACCATAAACATAATAAAAGCTGAGGCCATTTCTAACATAATCTCTATCAGCAAGATGCCAGCGCTTTTCCAGATTTCCTAACGGGTCCCTGCTAATTCCATGCCAAAACTAGCAGTGGATTTCTTCCTTTTAATCTCCCCTAATGCCTTATTCGATTATTGTCACTGCTCTCCGGCCGCGCACCGTCCCTTCAAACCCTAATTCCCCCCGTGGAGCGGTCAGATGAGGCTGAACGGCGGCGGCGAAGCCGAGGGACGAGCACGGCCGCGGGCACAGCCCGGCCCGGGAGCGAGGGGCCGGGGCTAAGGAACCCGGCCGGGCCCTGCCAGAGCCTCACCGGGGCTGAGGAACCGAGCTGAGCCCTGCCAGAGCCTCACCGGGGCTGAGGAACCGGGCTGTGCCAGAGCCTCATCGGGGCTGAGCCAGCCGGGCTCTGCCAGAGCCTCACCCGGGCCCGGGGGAAGGATGAGCGCCGACACCGGTTCCAGCTGACGGCTCTGAGGGCACCGAGCGTCTCGGCACACACCTGCGGCATGGCTCTGCTGCTCGCCTGGGCCTGTGTGGCTGTGAGGTGAGTGAGCCCCCGCCACCACGCCGATCCCCGAGGGCTCCCCGCAGCCGAGGGCTCTGCCGTCCCTCCCTGCGCCCCCCGGGGCTGGGGCTGACGGGGACTCGCCTCTGCCCGCAGCGTGGGGACGGCGCTGGGGGACCAGGGCGACGGGGCGGACCTCTACTCGGAAAACATCACTCGCATCCTCGACAAGTTGTTGGACGGCTACGACAACAGGCTCCGACCGGGATTTGGAGGTAGCGGGGAAGCCTCGTCCCCTCGGGGAGCCGGCGGGTGGGGAAGGGCGAGCGGCGCTCCGGCTGCCCGGGCAGGAGCGGCTCGTCCCGCACCCGCGGCAGGAGGGAGGCGGTGGGGCCCCAAAAGCGAACAGCAAAGTTTGCCGTGCCCCGCAGCCCCCGCTCTTGCGGGGCGGCTCCGCTGCCCTCGAACAGGGGTCCCGCTCCTCTCCCAGCCCCTCTCCGTGTCCCGTAGGCGCCGTGACAGAAGTCAAGACGGACATCTACGTGACCAGCTTCGGGCCGGTGTCCGACGTGGAGATGGTAAGGGCCCCGCTCGCCGCCCCTGCTCTGTTTTCCCGGGATTCATTACGGTGGCATCTGAGTTGACCGTCATTAAAGCAGATTACGAGGCTTAATCTCTTTGACAATCTCTAGGGCCCAGCAGAGCAGTGTGCCCAGAGCTGCATACAGCTATTTCCCGGCCCGCCAACCGGGGCTGGGCACACACAGCCTCAGGTAAAAGATGCCTCTGGAACCCTGTGAAGGTGGTGAGCGCCGTGTGCCAGCCCAGCTCTGCAGAACGCTGCCTGCTGGGAGGACACCGAATGAGCAGCTGCAGGGGAATGGTGGCATTGCTGACACAGCTGCCCCTGGTCCTGCTGGGTGCCCCCAAACTCAGGCAGCCGCAGACTTGGGTGCACTCAGTCTGTGTAGACAGAGGTTCAGACTTGGGTGCACTCTGGAATTCTTTAAGTCATGGAAGTGAGGATGGCATTGCTGTTCTCTTTCTAGACATTGACTTGGGCTGCTATTTTTGCCCTTGCACACCCCTCTAACACCAGCTCACATGAGCCTGCAGTCCAGTTTGCAGGCTGGAACTGTGGGCTCCGAGTAATACCGAAGTTTTTCCACTGCTCTTCATCAGTCAAAGAGAAGGCATAACCTAGCATTCTTACAAAATTTGCCCCTGGCCGGGTTTAGCTCTGTTTCCTAAGCTACTTCCGCAGAGGCCTCTTTTCTCAAGAGTTGTGAAAATATTACTAAGAATTCTTGGAAAAAAGTCTCATTGATTAATATTAACTTGACACCATAATCCTACTGTGATGTGACTCAGATCAGTCCTCACTTTGTGAATATCCAAAGGAAGCTGCAGAAGAGTCACCGAGCGTGTCTTTTTGTTTCTGGCAATTAAACACTGATAGCTTGGTCTTGCACTTTGAAAGGGAGACATTTGTATTTCCTTAGACCTCAGTCACTTTGAATTAAATTAGTATCTATGAGAGTACAATGAGGGTTAGTTTCTTTTCCTTAATCATGTCTAATTATCTGTTCAATGATTCATTTGTAACTATTCTTCAAATATGTTTTCATGGATGACTTTTTTAGTAACTACTTAATGATAATAGGATTGAGTGTTTAAGCAGTAAATGAAATGCCATTGACATGTGTGTTAAATTGTCTCATGGAGTTACTGTCCCCATAGGCACTTGGGACTGCTGACCCCCACACAGATGTCAGACCCTATTTATTTCCCACAGGAATACACAATGGATGTCTTCTTTCGTCAGACATGGACTGATGAGAGGCTGAAGTTTAGTGGGCCAACTGAAATTTTGAGACTGAACAATTTAATGGTCAGTAAAATTTGGACACCAGACACGTTTTTTAGAAATGGAAAAAAATCAATTGCTCACAATATGACAACTCCTAACAAACTTTTCAGAATTATGCAGAATGGAACTATTCTTTACACTATGAGGTGAGAGCTTGCCCTGCTTTTGTTGACCTGTATTTCTGATGCTATCAGCATTTTCCTACATACCATATTTTTCATTATCTACAACTGTGTGTTCTAGACTAACCATTAATGCTGACTGTCCTATGAGGTTGGTGAATTTCCCAATGGATGGACATGCTTGTCCACTGAAATTTGGAAGCTGTAAGTTTTTCTGTATCTTTCAGTTTTAAAGTAACACATTTGGTCAGAAGGAATATCCTTCTGTAAGATATTACTTAGTGACCTGGCTGAAATTTTAAGTTGTATTTTTATACTAGAATTTTACTTTTTTCTCTGAGACTCAGACCATTCATATGGACATGGATTTATCCACTGAAGAGTGACTGCTGAAGCATGTTTTATTGTTTATTATTCTTACACTTCTGGTAGTCAAAATTGGTCCTTCAACAAATATTAAAACCTCTGCTACATTTAGTATATTACTTATAATTTTGAAAATATGTGGTAATCAATTTTGAAATATTGTGGTAATATAATTTTGAAAATATTTAGTTGAGCTGGGGTAATCAATATGTATGTTTTATAGCAAGTTGAGAAGTGACAGCTAGTTCCTCTCAGGTCCCACCTCAGCCATTCTCTTGTCATTGCTTTTTTTTCTCATTTTGTAATTAATGAGGTTAGGAACTTCCTGGAGTAGGATGCATGTTTCTGTGGGCATTTGAGCTACAAAAGGGATTATTCTATTTATTTTTTAATTGCTTATAAAATACATAATTAGTAATGGTAATTTTCCCTTCTGTTACTCAGATGCTTATCCAAAAAGTGAAATAATTTATACTTGGAAAAAAGGACCATTGCATTCAGTAGAAGTACCTCAGGAGTCTTCCAGTCTTCTCCAGTATGACCTCATAGGACAAACTGTATCTAGTGAAACAATTAAGTCTAACACAGGTAAGATGGAGCCATGTGGAAACTACTGGTGTTGTGCAACATCTTGATAATAAATTACAGGGTTTTTTCATATAGAATGAATTAATTTATCTTTTGCCATTTAAAAAAATAATTATAAAGACTCTAGCCATTGTCTCCTAAAAGACAGCTTTTCAAAACAGTCCTCCCATCAAACACAAAATTTTTTCATGATATTTGTAAGAATTCCCACTACCTCTCCACCCCAGTAAAAACAGTGCATAAAATGAATATTATTCTGCTCTGTTTCCATAAGGTCACTTTACCTTTTTTTAAGCAGCTTATTTTTATTATGCACTAAGAGGTCTGTGATTTCATCTGAACATATTATGTTGGGTTTAAGCCAATAATGTTCACTCACATGTTGCCAGAATAATGCTGACATACTTGTCTCTTAACAGGTGAATATGTAATCATGACAGTGTATTTCCACTTGCAAAGGAAGATGGGCTACTTCATGATACAGATATACACTCCTTGCATTATGACAGTCATTCTTTCTCAGGTGTCTTTCTGGATTAACAAGGAGTCTGTTCCAGCCAGGACAGTTTTTGGTATGCTGTGTTAAGGTCTTTGAGCTCAGCATCTACCATTCATTCATTCATTCATTCCTTTCATTACTTGTTTGTTTTAGGGGAATATTCACTCCAGCTGCTCTATTTCCATCTGCAAAGGAAAATAGGCTACTATCTCATTCAGACATACATTCCATGCATCATGACTGTCGTCTTGTCTCAAGTTGTGTTTTGGATTAACAAAGAATCTGTTCCAGCAAGAACCGTGGCTGGTATTTGTGTTTTCCTTTTGTCATTCATTTCATTCATTGTATTGAATCTGTTCTATCAATCAGATACTGCAAGCCAGGGGGGATTAGGAAAGGCAGCAGTAGGTTTCAGCAAAAGTAAATACTAAAGTGAAATGATAGTCAATTTGCCTATGAGGGTCAAAATTCTTGACTCAGAATGTTTGGGTGGCCAGACTTGTTTGTGACAATTTTTAATTGTATTCCAATTGTATTTTTATATGCAGAAAGGGACAATTTCAAAGCAAATGTCATTTTTTCAAGAGGATTTTTTTTCCTATGGATTTACTGTCTCATGAAACCAATATGAGTTAAAGCTTTAAAAGGAAAAAAAATGGAATGGAGTTATTATCTAACATAAGGTACCCCATCTAACACTCATCCTGGAGTGCTCTCTTCCCCTTGGTTACAAAGGTATCTAAACAACTAACAAGGGCTTTAGATGGATAAAGATCAGTGAGATGAATAATGTCCCTAGCACAGGTTGAAGTTAGAATGAGAAAGATGTATCCATACTGCATGGCAGGGCCTTTTTCTTTCTTTCCAGTGGTTTGAATTAATGCTCTCAAAGCTTTGAGTCTCCTGGTTCATACATATCTGAGGTTTATACTCCAAATATGATGCTACTTGATTTTCCTTCATGTTACATCTGGGGATTGTAGAGTTACATCCTCTACATTTTGAGTAAAACATGCTTTCAACATAGTGGGCATGGAAGGTAAATACATGCTTCAAGAGGGTGCAAGTAGGTCTGTAGTCAATTTGGTAATAATTATATAAATACCCCAAACACTGGAATAACAGCTCCTAGGTGTTGTACTGAAGAGTGACATGGATTTGAGAAAACATTTTATAAAAAGAGTAAAATAAGCAACTCTCCACCTCTGTGGAAAATAGTGATGTTAGCATTTAAAAAGAATATTTCAATCCTTATTCCATTTCTCCCAGGACATAGTCTGAATTTGGAGTCCAGACTCGTTCAAAATCCCATGGATTCTGAATACCTTAATCTAAGGAAAAGAGGGCAAATTCTTTATGACCAAAAAAGACTTCTGGTCTTTTTCACTGAAAAAGAAATTTTTAAAATGGTAAAGGTTTAAAATGCATCATCTTGCAACTACTTGAATTATAAATTTTCACTTGTACTTGTAAGTCTGAAAGCTAAGTTTGAGAGAAGAGCTATTAATAGTAGAAGAATAATGATGTGCCTAAACCAGTTTTTCAGCACAAAATAATTCAAGGACTTTGTTTACCTCCAAAATGGATGCCAGTTATCAGATTTCAGTGTTTGCATTATGTAACATATTCTTCAAAACTTACCAAGAAGTGTTCAAAATGTAAAGACAAGGGTAAACAATCAGCAGTTGCAGTTTACCAACTGTAATTTGGTATTCAGTTTGATGAAGTAGCTTTCCACAGTGAAAAGCATTTCATCAATATTCACTCCACATGGAGAGAATTCTTATCTATATCTGTAAAAGAATAGGAGACCTATTCCTAAGTTAAATTCCGTCTGCAGTAAGTTTTTATTCAGACACAGAATATATCTATTTTATTACCAACTAGCACATGGACAGATTCTAATCTAATCACACATCATTTCTAAAAGTTCATTTTGGACCTTTGAAATTGAAATGCATCTCAGCATAGTTGTATTCATATAATAAAATGAGTCTGGCAGTTTTGGAGAAGTAGGAATGCTACATATTTCTATACCATCTCCTGTTTGTATTTCATTAATATGTGATAAGTAATGACATTGGGATGTAGTTAACCTCAGACAGCTGGCAAGCCACATCATGTGAAAGAGTTGCAGAGAAACTGAAAATAATGTCACCCTTTCTGTATGCTGCAATATGCTATGACACTGCATCCTTTCCTCCAAGCATCCCTCATAGCATACTGCTTCATCAACTCAACATGACCATCACAGTATGACATTAAAACATCTTTCACTTTGCCACCTACCGTTTCCCAACTGCAGAAAATAGAAGAGGATATTCTCCACCTCACTGTCTTTAAATACCCACAGGTTTTACATTCTAACAGGCATAATTATAAGTAAATATGAGTCACAGAGGCTTGTATGTAAATGATTGAGTTCGTTCTTGCATTTTCTGCTTGTATCAGGCAGCAGTAGGAAGTAAGTATATTTCCTACATTATTAATGCTGTACACTCCAACACAGAAAGAATAAATTCATGAATTCATGTGAAGAACACCATGGGGCCCATGAGCTACATGACCAGATTTGCTCTGTGAAAATAGATAAGCAGCTCTAGAGAAGCTTTTCTGTCTTTCCCTATCTGTAGCTAGGGGAGCTTTCAAATCAAGATACTCTTAGTGAATCCTAAAAAATGTATCCAGTGATTAAAGACAACAGCTCAGGGGACCAAAGCATTATTACTTGAAATGTTTAGATCAGGCTCTGACTGTTTTTAATGTAGAATTTGACTGATTTAGTGAGGGTTCTGTAAGCCATGTCTTGTACTACAACTGGAGAAAGAGAGGATCACTGTTGGGGAATGACGATATATAAATCCAGGTTTCTGCCAAACATTCTACTTACTAACACACCAAGGAAAATCTTCAAATTTTGAGCCTGGATTTTGTTATAGCCATGTTTATCCAATTCTAAGAAGCTGTCCCATGTAGAATGTTGTTATCTTTCAGTCTCATCAGTGCATTAAGGAAATTTTTCAAGACGTTTTAGATGCTGAATCCAGTACACATGAGTTATTTAAGGATACAAAATACTTAGGAGTCTTGCTGGGAAGTAGGATGACAACTAAAATCAAAAAAGGGTGCTGTGCTTTGTTTTTTTTTTCATATATGTGGATTTAAGAGTATCAGGGCTGAAGCCAAGTTCTAATGCCCCCCATTCTTTGTCCTGTTTCCAAGGAATCACCACAGTCCTCACCATGACCACCCTGAGCATCAGCGCTCGCCACTCCCTGCCCAAGGTGTCCTACGCCACCGCCATGGACTGGTTCATCGCCGTGTGCTTTGCCTTTGTCTTCTCTGCACTCATTGAGTTTGCAGCTGTCAACTACTTCACCAATCTCCAGGCTCAGAGAGCAATGAGGAAGGCAGCCAGGGCAGCAGCACTGGCAGCAGCACTATCAGCAGCAACTGTACCGGCAGAGGACGAGATTGTCTCGGTAATTGCTTGCTTTTCTGATAATAAGCATCATATAGGAACAGGCAGCTGAAGTAGAGAATGCAAAACAATATTAAAGTGATCTTAACCTGAAGCAGATTATGTAAGCAGATTGTGTCTATTTATCAAAGACATTGTTCTGATTCCAGAAAATGAAAATACTTCATTTGTTTGTAGTGTGTATTTAAATTTGCAATATGATTTTCTAGGGAGATGTTTATTTGGCTAGATATTTAAGGAAAGCCATTAGACTGTTATCCATGATACTTCTCTTGAGCAATGCTGTAGGCAGTGTGGTCAGGCAGCTGTAGTTCCCAGCAAGTCTGCAGAATTTGTGGGACAGTGTTCAATGGAATGAACGTGTGCATTGCCCAGATGATTGTGGGATCACTGTAGTGCAAGGGTACAGACTATAAGTGAGACATTTGGGAGATGGGTAATTAGCCTATACATCAACTTGGCATCTCTTACCTAACTGAAATCTGTGTTGGTGGAAGCTTTGGGGGGAAAAAAAACATAAACGAAGGATAGATTTTGGTACACGTAAAAGAGAGGAAGTCTTTCTAGTATCAAAATCTGTGCCAGAATTGCTTGCAAATTTCACTCTGTAAATCTCATGCTAAATTGTGAATGCTGTCTCACAGCATATGTTCATCTATTTATCATTGTGGCCTTCCTGTTTCAAAAACAGTTTTACTACCACCATGATTTCCATTTTTAGAGAAATAACAATCTGAATGACATTTTGCAAAACCTCTAAATCCATAATTGAATAAGGGAGTCAGTCTAAGAGGTGCCCATACCAAGGCAACACCTTACTCACCACAGAGTAATTTTTCCACATTTGCTGATAAATAGCAGTTAAATTACAACATTTGAGTACTTTAAAACTATTAAAATCATAATCAATAAGTTTTGCTGACAAGCTATCAGAAAAGTGAAAAAGTTTACCTGGTTTTAGATAGCATGAAGAAAATATTGATAACTACTACATCTTGAAGAGGAGCAACAGCTTGGACCTGTCCTTCACACACTTCCTTATTCAAATTTGAGTTAACCATAAGGAGGCTTTCTAGAAAGGAAAAAACAAAACAAAAAATACTACTTTTTTTTTTTCACTGAAAAGTCCCTGCTGAGCAATATGGAAACAGGCTGACTCTGCACGTGCTGCTGGTGCATTCACAGCCACTGTGGCCACCCCCTCACATTCCCAGTCTCAGGAAAACAACTGATCCAAAAAATAATCTCCTGCTTCTGCCCAGATAAGCTAAGAACTTGTTCCTGATGATAGGGCTCCTCCAGATTTACATGATCTATGAATCACAGCAGACCAAGGTAGACACCAGACATAAAATTTCTGTTGAACAAATGAATAAAAGATAAAGAGGTTAAAAGGCTCAAATTTCTTATCAAGTTCTTCAGCCTTAAAAAGCCAAGAGCAAACTGAAGACCTTCTTTCCTGTTTTGTAAATATTAGCTTATTAGGTTTTCCAAGTAAAAACCAACAAAAGAAAAAAGAAAGCATCTAGGAATAAAATACACATCTAGAAATCTCACTGCAACAATCTGCTCAAGAAAACTATTTACATCTAGCTGACAGCATACAGATTTAGAAGAGTAGTAAATCCAAGAACATTTAGACCCCAAAGTAAACTCAGTCTCTGAAACAGCTCACAATGTCCACAAAATTCGACAGACCTGATCTTGCTCAAAGCAAGACAGCCTTTTTCAAGCCCTGTGCATCCACCACGTTTTTCTCCCAGGATCAGTTGTCTATGAGAACTGCAGTAAGAGAAAGAGCAAACCTCAGTGAGATCATAAAAACAAAAGGTACTCACAACTGAAGGCAAGATGATGTAGTCAGAAAGGTTTCTAGAAGAATTAGCTATTGGATTTAAAAGGTTCCCTTCCAGAAGAGCACTCTGGGAAAAAGGAGTGATTATGGGATAACAGATTTTAAGAAGCTTTTCTTTTTTCATTCCTTTTTTTTTTCCCCTTTGGTAGAGATAAGGGAGAAGGAACTTTTCTATGTTGACACATCCATAGATATACTGCAGTCAGTGATATAATTTCATATGAAACAGACCTGAAGTGTCTAATTTGAATGCTAGCAGTGTATTTAATACAGGCTGATTGCACGTGTATAACCATTTCCTCTGGATTGTCATTCTCCCTGAGCCTTGTGCTTTTATAACTGCATTACTGATCCTAGGGCAGATATTTTTAAGGCACACAGCATAATACTCAGTTTTCTGCTAGAGTGAGGGCCCAAAGTCAAGATAAACATATCTACAGAACACATATATATATATTTAATTTCAGATTAAATGCTTTTTGAAAAAAACCAAAAAAATTAAAATATTAAGCAGCCTTTTTTCCCCTTCAGTCTAGTTATCATTTTTAAAAATTTGATTCAAATAAACTTAAGTCTCTCATGCAGGTTTTTATCATCTAGCCAAAAAACTTGTACACTCAGAAAAGAAATATGTCAGAAGACCAAATTCTGCTCTAGTGTGGAATGAAAGCAGGAGAAAATGCTGCAGCTACTGAACTGTGGTGGGGTCAGTATGAGAGCTGAGAGCCCAGCAGGCCTGGGCTGGCTCCAGGAAAGCCTCTCTATTTACCTCAGTTAACTGAGAGCAGGATTTGGCTTGCTCTCTCCATCAGCTGCAGGCAATCCCTGTGTGAAATACAAAACTCTGGGTGTTCCTCTGCAGAACACGAGGGGAGCAAGCTGAGCCTTCATCTGGACCCTGACACAAACCTGTTCTTACTCCTGCGGTGGCCAAGCTGGCTTAACATGCCAAAACCAAACATCCTATACATGCACATATAAAACCACGATGGCATTTAGCTTTTAAATCCATTTCAAATGCATATTTTCCATATCAGTTGTGTTGTTTCCTCTTGGTGGCTTTCTTTTCCCAGGGAGATCCCCATTCTGAACTTGCAGGGGAAGGGAGTTGGTGATACTGTGAGGAGCACACTATTTGCAGAAATGCTTTGTGGGATGGTCAGGGAGTAACCCCATGGATCAAAAGACATCCTTTCCCTGTCAGAGGCTACATGTAAAAGACGAAAGATAACCACCCTGTAACAGCTTGCTCACAGCTATGTTCTGAAAGTCCTCATGTTTTAACAGAAATCAGCACAGAGCAGTGCAATACCTGTGGGAGAGCTTCCTTCTCCCTCCAGCTTTGTGTTTCAAAACAACACAACTTGGGCAGGAAAGGATTCTTATTCCCTTTAACCTGGCTAGTGCAGAACAGCTGTCACTGGTACAGAGGATTTAGTTTCCTACAATTATGTCAGAATATATTGAGTTTGTTTAATGAGCATCCTGGTGTAGCAGAATACTTCTGTCTGGATCACCAACTGCCCTTTAGGATCACCCTAAAACAGCTATATGCTTTAAAGTCTTCACTGACAACATTGAGACATAATCCCAGCAACTTTTTTTCAGGTGGCTAGTGAGAATAAAATAAAGTAAATTTAATTATAGGGAAAAAAACATATGGGCAGACACTGATAGATTTAAGAGCCAAATGTGGCTTTGAAAATTTAAATCTGTTTAATGTAAAAACATATTTTGACAGCAGAGAGGCTCTGTGCCAATTATATGTTTTTTCTGGCATGCTACAAATAAATGTTGTGAAGAAACTTTACCATAGCTCATTCCCTTTGAAAAGAGAATGACCAGGGTTCCAGTCTCTGCTCTCCTTACTGCATATCTGCTTTATATGACAGCAGTTTTAATACAATGGGCATTGGGTATTTTTCAGTTATGCTTCCTGCCTATATAGATCTTTAGATTTTTCCATGCAAAATAAAATAGCTTTGAAGTAATAGGTAACAGACTCTCCCCCTTTTCACCTTCACTTGATGTTTTGGCTGTATTTTGAGAAAAGTTAATTTCATTTCCTGGAGGTTAAGAAAGATTTTGAACATGGTTTTCCTCCTGCTCCAAGTGAGCAATTTAACCTAAGTGATTTAACCCTTTTAATAGGGTAAAAAATGATAAAAACAAGTCTGCATGTTTTTCCTGAGTGTTTCTAGGAAAAGTAATTTAAATTTCCTTAAGAGATGCCTGAAGCTAGGGCTATTAATGACTTCTAAACTATACTCAGCTTTTGATTATGCAGGACACTGCTAATAGCCATTTACACATTATTTGCAATATACTTCTTTTAAAATCAGATTCCACAGACGAGACATTCAGAGTGTCCAAATTAGGGTTTATAATGAATCTGAGCCATGAGATGGATACTGAAACTGCCCAGGACTGTATTGAAGGAGGTTCCTTAGTACATGGCCAAAAGATGATGTTGCGCAGTGCAATGAACTTTCCTGCTGGAGGTTGCTGCATGTGGATTGTTCAAAAGCTAAGGAGAGGCTTTCCAGATCACACTGGTGGATGTAGGGGCTAAACCATGGTTAACTCCCCCTTTGGGAGATAAGTCACTAGCATACTGTTATGTTTGTAATGGTTGAAATTTCTCAAACTGTATCTACTAATGAGCAGAGGCAAAAAATGTTATGTATTTAATTAGGCATTCTGCCTTTTAGGCACTGAGCTCTACTTCTAGGTTGGTTTGTGTGTGTGTGGGTTTTGATATAAGGAAAGTTCAGTGTCTTTAATCAAATAAATTATGAAGAAGAAATAACACGTTATTTTTATCTAAACTTTTAGGGTTTTTTTCTCATGAACTTCTTTTTACTGCATTGCTAGCAGGAAAAAAAGATGTGAATAAAAGAGAGATAAGGAAGGACATACAGATATTCATTTTTTTCAAGTTAGCCAGTATCTGGGTTGCATATATAAGAGACTGATGTTACTGTTAGATCATAAACTAAACTGATAGTGAGAATATGTATTTGCAGTACAAAGCAACGGAGGAGAGAATTCTACAAATATGAATTACAGAAATCTCTTGAGGGAAAGAAACATAAGAACAAAGTGCATTCATAAATCACAGTTAGCATGCACCAAAGGAATCAGAAAAAGCAGACAAAGAATTTTATTTACTCCAAGGTTATGTGTGATGTATTTTTTTAGATCTGGAAGGCAAGAAATTTGGTGAAAACCTCCTGAGATATTCTGAGTATAATCAGCTTCTAGTGATATTGAGGAGGGTTGTGAGAGCAGAGCTTTACATAGAGGATGAGAGTGCTTTGTGAGCTTTCCAGGGGATGAGGTAGCTTGGCTGCAAAGCTCAGTGAGAAGGCAGACTGTACCTTACAGGCCATCTACATAGCAGTGCAGTGTGGTGGTGTCTCACATTAAACAATGGCCTGGCAATCTGCTCTGTGTCACTGCCTGCTCAGACAGAGCTGCAAGTTTAATTGCCTGATGGGACTAACATTCCACATGAGTGCAAGAGTACCTCTGAATCAAGGTTCAGTACCTCCAGAAAATCCATTATTTCCTTACGACACAGTGTACTGTGCCTCAGGCTTCTTGTTCTTGCTGCTTGTAAAACAGTCCTTACTTGAGTGATTGGCTCTGGGAGCTATGCAAAATAGGCTATTCATTTCCATTTTCTCTGTTTTGTTAACATTTCATGATGTTATTGTATGTAATCTTTGTCAAAAGGAGAAGTTAAATCTCGATACAGTAGACAAATTACTGTAGCTGCTGTTCAGAACGACTGTAATAAGGAATTATATTCTTATCCTCAGGCCTCCTGTTCTTGGTTTAGCAGTGAATTCCAATGAAAAATATGAGTTGTGGTTCTGGGGCAGCAGTCTGGTCTACAAAAAACTCCCATACTGAGAGACATCCTCATTACATCTGAAATAAATTTGGACTTAGAATTCCATATCCTGAGTAGGGATTTAGAAGAAAATAGGTTTGACCCTGTACTTGCTGTTGTGGGGACACAGGACTGTTAAAGACAGCGAGAAGAACAGCTCAGGGTTTTTTCTTGAGATGAAATCACATTGAGATAATCCTCCTACTTTAGCTGTCCCCCTTCTGTAAGAATGAGATTTAATAAATATAAATAAAATAATAACCAGGATTACACTTTTCCAAGTGCTTATTCAAATGATCACAAAGATTTTCCTACCTCCACATTCTAAATATGTTCAGTACTAAACATCATCCAGTGACCATACACTACATCTGTTCTACTTACTATTAACTCCATCACCTCAGCACTGTAATTCCTGATTTATGCTTGAATAGTCCAGAGTAGAATTTGACCTACCTCATACCAGAATATTGTTGATAAAAAGGACCAATATTCACCTTAACACTTGTATTTTTAGGAACCACACAGTCTTCACAAAAGGTCAAGTTATTCCACAGAAATTGAGAAGGACTGAGAAAACAAGATGCCTCACAGTTTGTACAGTTCTGTTCAAAGGAGGGCATGCAGGCAAATGGAACAGAAGTGGAGTGAAAGCAGGAAGGCAGGCTCAGCCAGCCAGTCTGTTCATAGAAGGGGATTATTATTATTATGATTAGTGCAAGTGGACATGGATAACCCTCTTTCTGTTTCTGTGACACATCTGTAGCTCATCCTCCATTTAAATCTGTCTGCTGCTTGCTGTGTTACTGCAAAATGCAAAACGAACCATCTGTGTTCCAGATAGGCACAGAGCAGGAATGCTTTTTAATACCCATTCACAACATCACCAGCCATATAATGTATGGAGGGCAAACTGGAAGTGGTGATTGGTTGTAGGGGAAGAAAAAGGCAATAGGTAAGGGAAATACATACAGAAAAAGTACCTTTTTCCTTTTGAAGTAAGGAAAACTTACTTCAACTCTTCACCTTTTGTTTATACTAAAATCAGCTGTGAGGAATCCATCTCTCCCTAATTTTAGTTGGATACCAGTCCATTCATTCATGAACAAAACTTGGCATCCTGTTGTGGAAATGTCAATTGTTCTGATTCTCTGACAGTAACGATGACTTCTGGAAGGATAATTCCTGTTACAACTATTCTAAGTCACCCAGGAGACACCAGCTGTGCTAGGTTAGTCTGTTATCTAGAAATTGTGGCCCAAGTACAAGAGTGGAAAATGCATTTCAGAAAATGCTTCCTTTCCTTTTAGTGACTCAGTCATTTATCTGATTGACTAAAATCTGTTCCTATGCTTAGAAATCTGCAAGATAAATCCCAAAAATGCTGACAGCAGGCTACATTTATGTGAATGGTTGTCATTAAATCACTCCCAATGAATGGCTTTGGAAATTGCCTATCTAATAGCATTTTTCTACCTTAAAATCATTCCAATGTTAGTCTTCCATTTCACTATAGATGTATGTGCTGTTATTTTGGGAGTTATTTACATTGTCCAAGACTTCCCTCATCTGCTTCAGTCATTTGGTCATCTCGTTCTGCTGACCAGAAAATCTTTGTATTCAAATCCAAGAACATCTGTGTACATTGTGTGATTTTGTGCACAAGATTTTTCCTCAATAATCAGGGAAATGAGTTTTATGGACAAAGTTTTAGGCTTAAGCTCCATATAACAGAACGCTACAGTACTTCATCTCAAAACAAACAACAAACAAACAAAGTCACTCACGTCATCCTTCTGTATTTTCTCAGCCATCAGATAAATCTTAGAGCTGCTGCCATGCATCCACAAATGGCCATGCTGGGATATGGCAGGAGCAGCAAGGTTTTTGAAAATTCCCTCCTATTTGACGCTACTGTGAAAGTGAGCAATTGATATCCATTAGAGCAGGCTCAGAGCCTGGGGTAGCTCCTGTTCCTAATAATTTCTGGAAGGAAGAACTCTAATCTTGGGAAAGTAAAATAATGGCAACGTGGACCCAAATAAAACAGATGTACAAAATTAATATACACACTAGCCTAGTAAGCTCTACATGTTCCTGAGTTCTGGCTGAATTTTCAGAAGAGTTTTAATACAGCTTTCTGAAGAGTAATTGGACCTGGCTGCAAATGCTGCACAAAATATGGGAGTAATTTGGTTTCATTTCACCATAAATGAAAATAAAAATAGTCCCATTACAGCTGAGTATATTTGTCTTCAGTTGTATGCATGGAACTGCTGTGGGAATTATGAGATATATTTTAAAATGAAATTTTATCCTGGAAAAAACGAGAGGACAATTCAGCATTCATGTTTTCAGCAGCTGTAAAGGTAGCCCAGTGCCTTTTGTGCAGCAGTTTTCTAGTTCCTGCATGACTCCATTCAGTGTTTACCAAACTCATCAATGGGTCCAGCCAGGAAGATTGCACCTGAGCCAGCCCATATTGCTGCTTGGTTTAATCTTGATCCATATCTGCACACACTTCAGTCACACCAACCTACTACAATTTGGATACACCATTACTTTCTTTCCCTTTTAGCTCCATCTTCTCTTTTTCTCTCTTGGAGCTTCCACTTATCACAGTGTTAACAATGTGAAAAGCACATATTCTTTCACGGCTTTACAAGAAAGCTTTAGGCTGTAAAAATATATATCCTTCTGTATAGATGCATTATTTTTGTGATTTTGTGATATTGCACTATAGCAGAGAAGCAACAGTAAAATCAGAAATTTAAGTTAGAAGGTGGAAAGAAGTCTAAAGGTCACAAAACCTAAGACTCTGTATCCAAATAACATCTTTTTTTTTTTCCTCTTTTTTCTTTCCCAGCATTCCGACTCCAACTCCAACCTGAAGAAGAGGGTGAACTCCATAGCATCTCAGGCAGAGCAGTCTCCTGAGCCCAGCATAATATCAAACACTGCATCCCAGTGTCAACCTCTGCCTGTTCCTCCACCAGCCCCACCACAGCCACCAGCCATTGGAGGTGCAAGTAAAATAGACCAGTATTCCAGGATCCTCTTTCCAGTGGCATTTGCAGGATTCAACCTGGTGTACTGGGTTGTTTATCTTTCAAAAGACACTATGGAGGTGAGTAGTAAATTTTCTTTATACTCATCTATAATGTGTAATATGTTTACTTGCCCAGCATTATTTCAGTTGTTCATTTACTGTTTCAACTCAGTTCATCAGTCCTTTCTGAGTAACACTAGAATTTTTATCAAAAAAAATCAGCTGTAGCACTCAGTACAATGCAGAAAGGCTGTTTGAGGAGGGGAAATGTAAACACTTCTCTCTAACTCATGCTGCACTGAGCAGAAAATGCTCTGTGAGACAGCACAGGATGACATTCTTAGCAAACAAACTGATCTTAAATCTTCGATTTCTTTAGCTGTTGTAAGGAATGCTAGAAATATCTGTTGAAGCCATGAAGTGAAAGAGATAAGAACTTTATCATAAGATTTTCTCAGGGAGCTAGTACCATAAGTTTCCCCAAAAAGTTTGTTATAAAGGATTAATAACTGCAGTATGAAGTTTGTGAATCAAGAGTCCCTAGTTTTGTACATTTCAATATATGTTTCCTGGTTTTTTTCATATATATCATACTGTGTTATGCAAATAAAGCTGAAAAATCTTTTCATAAGTTTCCTTGAATCAGGCAGAGAGTGATTACACCTTTAAATATCTATAAGGTCCAGAAGAGACATGTGCCCTGCAAATTGAGCATGTCTGGAATGATCAGTCAGTAGTCAATCATTAAACTTTAATTCTTTAATGCTTTAAATCTCTATTTTTTCCCCTTTTTTGCCTAAATAAAGTTAATAGTGTCCTATTTCCTTGGTAAAAAATATATTCATTTGCCTCGTTGCTATAGAGTTTTGGATCTCACTGTACATTGCAGTCAGTTTGATTGGTACATTTAGTTTATTTAGGACAGCTAGGAGATAATGATGGTATTTAGATAGCACCAAATGCACAAAGTCCCTCCATCAATAAAAACAGAAATGTGGTATGAGTGGGGATCAGGCTGTATCTTTATTTCCTAGATCAAAGGTGAAGCAGGCTGAGGGAAATCTTGTGGGCAGCCAGAGATGTTGCAGTTCAGAGAAACAAGTCAGCGCTGATCAGCTGATGGTGGCACCTCACCTCTGCTGAAGGGCTGCTGCTCTAGCAGACTCTAATTTCTGCTATCAATATGATCTGAAAATACTGTCTCTCAGAGATGGGGTGTGCTGCCAAGCAGCTTCTGTGGAATTGTGAGGGCAGGAAGGTAGGAGACACTGTCTCTCAAATGTTCCTGCAGATGTCTCTCAAGAGGTCACAGCTGCCAGCTCCTGGCCACTCCAGCCCTGCCCAGTGCTAAATTTAGCATTTGTGCCAGAGTCACTGATCCTGCTGCTAAAATATTGACTATGTGTGCAAATGACTTATCTCAGAGGAGGGATTGGAAAAGCTCATGTCTGATCATGACAACTTCTGTTTAGAGGCCAGCTCCTCAGCTTGCCAAGACTCCAGTGATTAAACCATTCACATTCTGGATCTGGAAATATTTGGAATATACTTGCCATTTCCCCTGGTGGTGATGAAATATTTACACTGAACCTCGTATATTAATAATAACATTAGAACCAGGCTTTTAAAATACTTCCAAAATCTAGGACTAAGTGCTGACTATAAATATTTTTAAATGCTACTGTGAAAGCTCACAAACATGCTCAGAAGCTGAGAAATGATGTTCTGTAGTAGCATTACAGAACAACAGAAATCCAGCTGGGGTGTTTTGAATTATGAAGAATTTAAACAATTGTGTAAATTTTGACCAAGCTCTTCTTCCTAAATTACATTTCTGCATTTGTGTAGTCAGTTAGAACTAATAATAATTGTGATATACACTGCTAGGTTTCTAATCCAAACGTTGTGCCACCAGTTGTTACTTACAACAACCAGGATTCTTTTTGCTTTAAAAATATATTAAAATATATAAGCTTTTAATTCCAAAGAGAGGAGATACAAAAGTTGGGTGAATAAAGCATGGAATGCTTCAAGGGCAGTTAATCTTTTGCTACCTCAGGCTCAACAGATTTAATGTTGTTACAGTATTATTCAGCTTATTCAATTTAAAAAGTGCATTTTGTGCAGTATTTCAGGTATATTAGCTTTTTTAAGTTGCTTTTTTGAGTTCATGGGACTTTTGTTTAAAAAACAGAGGAAAAAAATCTCATTAATTTTTTGAAATAGACAAATTTCCAGTACACCAGTTCTTGTACTGCAACTCTCTAGGATTTTTATTAGTGCAGTTAGAACCACAGAAGATCATTCAGCAATTCATGTGCTCAAGCCAAGCAGGTACCTCCTGTCTTTGGAGGTACACAGAGAATGGATCAGGCATTTCATAGCCCTGTTTGTAAAAGCAGGTTATTAGCACTGGAATCAAAGGTCATTTTCACCTCCTATCATTATTTTCTGGGCAGGCTCTGCCTTTGGCTTTGAAGGAGGAGCAAGAAGAGTTTTTTACTTCATGTTCTGGATTCAGAGTCTCGGCTGGAAGGAGCAGCCTTGTTAGTGTAGTGACACAGGGCTGCATGAAATGAGGAGCTCTTTTCTGAGCTGTTTGGTACGAGTTCAATACACTACTAAGCAATTTTCTTTGGCTTAGATAATATGTTACAGAAATGAAAAAGGCATTTTTATGTACAGTATCTGATAAGATTTATGAGAACTTTTGAGGACTGACTACTTTTGAAAGTGCTCCTTGGATAACTTTTTCTCCCTCTGCCATTAATAATTTTCTCTTCAGGTTAATCATCTTTTCTCTTACTATACATGTAAGCTAAGAGTATGTAAATTACACAGATATTTTTTGATTTGGAAGTGTGTATAAAGAAGAAGGTGTTTTTAATAAAACGTACACCTTTAAACATTTGAATGTTATCATCATAGACTGGTTTGGATGGGAAGTCAGCTTAGAGATCATAGAATTCCACGTCCCTCCTATGGCAGGGACACTTTCCACTAGACCAGGCTGCTCCAAGTCCAATACAATCTGATCCTGAAAACTTGCAGGGATGAAGCATCCACAGCTTCTCTGAGTAACTTGTGCCAGGCCCTCACCACCCTCACAGGGAGGGCAGCCAGGACTGGACAGACAGCAAAAGTATCTTAAACTGAAATCTGTATTTTATACTTCCATACATACTGCACTAAGTCAAACTTTGCAAACCAGGAAGCTTAGTAGCAAACTTTCATTACAAGATTAATGTTTTTCTATATTTTAAATCAAAACCAGCACCATTCTCTGAAGAAAAAAATGAAAAAAAAATCCAGCTTAAAATTAAGTAATTCACCTGAATGCTTTTTTTACATGGATGGGGATAACATTCATCTTCTGGTCTTAGTATTTAAATAAAGGGTTTAATTCTCTATTGGAACAAGTGGGAAAACATTCTTATTCAATAGCAGTCATCCACTGTGCAACTTGATACATAAGATATTTCAGTGTAGATGGGGAGTAGCAAGAGCATTGAAGAACAAAAATTGTACTGGTCAAAACAAAGGAATTAATTAAACTAGCAAAGTTCTCTGTCTGCATTTCGTAAAACTGTATATTGGTAGAACTTAATATAAGAAAAGGACTACAGAATGTACAAAATAACTGATGCTAGTTTTCAGACCACAGAAAATGCTGTAAGATACTTGTAAGATAAGCCCCTTGTCTCTCAAAGGGTTTTATAAGTTAATGCTACAGGTGCTAATTATAGTGATATCACTGTGCTATTTATAGTATGGAAAAAATAAAGCATCAGAGTTACTCTGAGAGGACTTAGTCCCTCTCTATGTAAGGTGAATTAAATTAGGTGGAAAGTTTGAGGATATAGCATCCCCATGATTTATACATGGGGGATGGAACATTTCTGTGGCACATTTCTATGGTTCATGTTCTTCTGTAGGGTACAGTAATATCTGCCATCCACAAGAAGCTCTAAACATTAATGAAAAAGACACATTTGTCTAAATTTGACAAATAGAAAAGTTCTTGAAAGAAGAGCAAACCTTTCTGACAAATGAAGAAAAAGATATTCTCGATTTTTACTTTGTCATACAGCATATTTAGGCTTTGTTTTCTGTTTTAAATCTTCCTAAGTCCTTGAGCTGAATACTAATTTATGACAGTGACCTTGGCAGGTGAATTTCACACTTAGTTTATTTTAAAATTTGCTTGATTTAGAGTGCAAAGAGCCCCCTTTTAAAGAGCAGCAAGTACTGCCTTTGCCACATAACTCACAATGCATATGCCACTGCCACGTCATCTCACACACCTTATTTCTAAATTTATCTATCTTAATTTTTATATGTAACATTATATTACAGTTTTTCATGTAATAAAACATGGAATAATGGAGTGAATCAAGCTAGATAAGGAGATGATGTTAAAATTTTGATGATAAATCCAGAAAAAGAAGCAGAGGCAGCTTTTATGTTTGGGAGCACAGGAAGATACAAAGTCATTGAATGGACCAAAGTTGCTGAGTCCTGGATATTATTTGGATGCAGAGAACATAGCAGGATGGCAGGAGAAGAGTTACATAATAAGTCAAAGATGCTAATGATGTCAGGTGGGAAGAAAAAAATAAAGAAACAAGAGCAGGAAAAGTATTTAGCTTCAGTACATTGGTGTTATAAAGCTTGTAGTGCATATCATTACATCATTTTTCAGTTTAAGCACTGGAAAAATAAAGGTTAAGAGGAACAGTCATTGCCATACATGCATAACAACTGAGCTTTGATGATCCAGGTAATGAGCATCAAATTCTAAGAGGATTCTCCTTGTAGTGCAGTTCTATTTTGAGTCTGCTGAGAGAGTCAGAAATCACATGGGTTTGTGGGTTAACTCAGTTGTTACTAAAAGTGGTCAACAATCCACAGCTTAAACCTCTCTAAACTTTTCTTCCAGTTTTTTGAACCTTCAGCAATGCATTTTCGAAATGACCCTCAGTCCAACTGAAGAACAGCTCAGGATTTCAAGGAAATCACTCAAGGTCACAGAGCATTGAAGAGACTTCAAAGGATTTGTCTGTCCACAGGTGATCTCAGTTTTCAAACAGGGAATATTTTTATTGGACATTACCTTGGATGCAAACTCTGGAAAAATCAGAAGCTGCAAACTTCTTAGGGATCTAATTAATATTTTCTTAAGATTTCTTACAATGATTGTACTACAGTTGTTCTTAAATTATTTGCTTAACTGTCAAAGGAAAGAATGCTCATTTTTTCTAAAACATTTGTAAACAATTGAATGTTTACATTTATATGAAACACCAATAAAAGGGTTTGTTTTTTTTTAATAGAATAAGGATTGCTAAACTCAGCTGATTCTGAAATGGTAGAACTTGGCATAGTTTCAGCGAAAATCTAGGAGTTGTACTGATTTCAGCACTTGAAATTGACCCAAAACAATGATGGATAGAAATCCTATGTAAAGGAGCTGTAGTTCTATCCTGTTTTAACCTTTTCATATAAAAGATAAGGGATTATTTATTAATTATTTTTAATTTCATTTTCATCTTTGGGATGATACTTCTAAAGAATGAGATACAAGACAAAAAAAGAAATATAAGCTATTTTTTGTGTGCTTTAGCTGTTTGGTTACCACAATGTAACTTTGTTGAAAGTCACCATTAAAGTACAACCAGACTAATAACAAGCAATTTCTTGGCAGAAATGGAGGACTGGAATTTCAGGGAGTTTTCAAGGTCTAAAGATGAATAGACAGAAAGATGCAGCTGCCCATCAGGCTGAATGCAAGCCTCCAGCTCCAGGGAACTTCCTGGAAGCAGGCCTTGATTACTAGTTAAGGAACAGCTTTTTATCAGCTGATTCTACTGAATTGCCTGTAGAAAACTCCCTAGAAATGTTTTCTAGAGCCAAAGAGCTGCCAGCACATTCAGAGTCTAAAGGAAATAATATTTTGCCACTCTCAACACAAACAGTCACAGAATTCCTTCATTCACCCTTCATCTGCATGATCCTTCTCAGGAATGTAGTTAGGAAACACATGCCAAAATCAAACCAAACCTAAGTCCAAATTATTGCAGGTGTAATGGACATTGGGAGGAGTCAGAAGCACACAAAGAAGTTTTATATAAAGCTAAATAAAAATTAAGGATTCCATCCTATATTGAAATTTCAGTACAATAAAATTAACAGAAACATGAAATAATGCAGAGATTCAGGATATTCAGGTGCATTTCCTTTGTCTACACAAACATCTTAATTCCTGTAAGTCACCAACTCTTTTATTGGTACCATGACCATTTTAACTGTTTGAAGGCCTTGCTCCAGCTGTTCTCCTCCTCCTATTTCTAGAGCTTTTACTGGTGTGGTAGCTGGAGTGATCATGGGAAATCCTTTTTGCACACCCTATTCTCTAACTTTGAAGGGCTTAAATGGAACAATTTAAGGATTCTACTCAATAATAAATATTGTTTGTACATAAATGTCACATTTGCTATTTGCTTTTTCTGACTGGCTGAAGGCTGGCACACTTGAATGTATTTGTAAGTGCATGGAATTCTGTCTACATTTTGCTTTCAAACTAAAGTGGTGAAAAATTTTCCTATTTTCAGCCTTTTTATACTGTTCTAAGAAAAAATTAAACTATGCATACTGGGCAAATATTTTATAATTTTTAAATAGATCTTATTTTGAAAAAAGCAAATTATGCAGTAGGGACCCAGAAGTTATTTTTTTGAATAACTACACTCATTCTTGCTTTACTGACTAATTCCTGTTTTGAGTACATTAATATCTGTAAGAGTTTCCAGAGTATTTTAAAACTGGTTTATGCACAATATGAAAATTTTTAAAAGCTATGATAAAACATGTGACACTAAAGGAGTTAAATTTTGTATCTGGTCTTTGCTTAATAGAATTCTGAATACTAATTTCACAGCAGATGCAGAGAGTTACTAAACAGTGACTATTTCCTTGAAATGTAGTAATTCAATGTATAAAATGGTGGTAACTTCCCAATTAGGAAGCTGTATCATCATCTTAAAATTGTTTTAGTAGCTCTTGGTCTTTCAAAAGAGATTTCAACATCAGCACAAAGACTGCTTATCTTTTTTCTCCAAAGAGCTTTTTCTGTGGATATGACAGAGAAGGGTTGTTTCTCCTCAGCTTTTTGAATGGTAGGAAGGGAATGTGTATTTTTCCTGTTACATACTTTGTAGAGACACAAGTGTAATCAATAATGTTAATAATGGCAAGTTATATCTTAGGATAAATGCAATTACTTACAATTAATGTCACTTATTAACAATCCTGGTTATGGTCAAACACTAATCAACCAAGCACGACAGTAAAAGAGCAGAGAAATAGAAAAAGGTTATATACTATATGTATATATTTCTGTATGCATATATACATATGTATTTCTGTAGAAAATATAAATAATAAATAAATAATACCATAATAAAGAGTATATATTTCTTTCTGTATCACCAGTTGAAAGGAAATTGAGGGATATGGGTTTTCCCAGTATTTTTGACTGTACTGCAATAGGAAGAGCAGAAGCTAAGGTTGCTCTAAGATGGGAATTTCTGTGTGTGAAACAGGGCACTGTGGGGAGGAGATGTGCAATTTCATTGAGCTATTGCACTCTGATGCCCATCATTCACCACCAACTTCCCTTTCTATGGATCTTGGTTAAAAGGATGCTCTGGTTTTAGCCCATACAAAGTGACCAAATGTAGTTTACATTCAGTTTTAGCCTTTTCTGCTTGATCAGAAGTTCAAGAAAAAGCATAACTATGAACAACAATACAGAATTATTTCATAGTAAATTCGAACCTGTGATTACATATAAATTTTATTATTCTTCATCTGGGCTCTACCCCTCCTCCCCCATTTTTTTTTTCATAATTTCTAAGCCAAATGAGAACCCAGCAGTTTTAAGACATAGAAATTATGCAATGGCACACTAGATCAGCCTTGAGATCATCCACTCCTGTTCAAAGGGTTGTCCTCCCAGCAGCTAGAACAGGAGCTGCATAAACCCCATAAATGTGAAGAAAATGTCCTGATAAAGGGACCTGTCCAGTGTTTTGATATTTTGATGCTACCTGCCAGGTAACAAACTCAAGGCCTTTCACTCATATGCAAATAAATTCAGAGGTGACTTTGTCATTGCTTAGTTCATTACATTCTTGGTTCTCTTCCAGTTCATGACAAGAGCAGCATTCCTCATCTGCCTTCTCTAATGAATTCATTCTTGCAGAATTTTCCTCTAATTGGTAATCAATCAAGACCTTTCAACTCTCTGCATAAATGATGTCTGTCACCTGGCTTTATGGAGAAATCTGTGAAGGAAAAAGTCCTTACCCACACTCAGAATGGGTAGGGATGGAGAAGTAAACAGTTGAGTTCTGCATCACTGCTTCAGTGAAATCATCCCTGAGCCAGGGCTGGAGTGGTGCTTGTGCACACAGAATGAACTCTGCAGCTCATTTCCAGGCAGCACTTGGGTACAGCCCACAGCAACTCTGAAAAGTGTATTGGAAGTAGAAGTTGGTGACAGAGCACAAATGAGTCTCAGCCATGCTTTGAGATATGAGTCATAAACCAGCAAGTTTTACCAAGAGAAATGAAGGAATTCAAAGAAACCAAAGCATCTCCACAATTGTCAAGTAGGAAAGGGAATTCCATACTTATTGGGAATCCTTAAAGAACAAACAAATAAACAAAAAACCGACTAAACAAACTCTTACTCCTGCCCAAAACCAAATTATATGTGACTTTCCAATCACATTTAGAGAAAACCCCACACCCATGCATTTAATGTGGTTCCATAAAAGCAGGACAATACAAGGCATCGGGGAATCCCGTAAACCCTGTAACATGCATCTGTACTGAATCACTTTGCAGCACACTTGGCTGGTTCTCAAAGGAGTCATTAGTTCATGAAAACAGGATCTGGCCTCAGTTATGACCAGACTATTTTAACCTCCATGAATAAGAGTAATTTCTAATAGTTTAAAGGCATTAAATTCTTTACATGCCTTAAGGAGCCAATAAACCTCCTCCAGGCCATATGTAGTTACATATTTAAGTATTAAAGCAAAGGTTTTTCTCCCCACCTCATATCTGCTTTGTTTATAATAACATTTTCATGGAGAAGATAAAAATATTTTATAAATTAAAACTAAATAAAACTAATAAAGGAATAGTTATTCCTGTACATTGAAAAAAAAGCTAGAAAGTATCAATTGTTAGAAGTTGACTTTCCTAAGGGCTACAGACTCTGTGCCCTCATGTAAACTAGATGAAGTCATGGTGCTCCAAATTGACACATAAGAAGTGGATGGGAGATTAAAAAGTGGGATCTAAGCAATAAAGTCACAGGTTTTAACATGAGGATGTTAAATTAATGAATTGTTTGTTGCGTAGATGAGTCTGTTGGTAAGATCGGATAGTGATGATGAGAGTAACTAGAAATGATCAGAAATAACCTACTGCTTCATCCAAAATTCAAAATTCACTGAACTGAAATTTTAAAAACTAAGGTAGAAACATCTTTGTGTGAACAAAATTTAAAGTTTTTTCCATAAATATAATTAATGTGCATTCTCAAGTTTTAGTAATTTATAAATTCCTTGTGAGCTAAAATGTATTATGCTTCACACACCCTAAACCTTTCATTTTAAATGAATAAAAACTATTCCTATCTGGTACAGTCTTCACATAAAATCCAACATTAATTGTTTGATATGAGATGTCTGCTTGCAACACAAATGTATTCAAAAGTAAAAATAAGTTTGACTTCATGGTTTTAATAGTGACTACAGTTTTTGTCAGGTGGATTTTTAAACCAATGAAGCTGTGAGATTTACCATTACTACTTTGAGGGCTTTATTCTGATGTCACTGCCAACATAATAAAAGTGGAGTAATTCTAGTGAAGCAGACTGAGTAAGGCCAAAGTGAAAGGAAATAACTAGTGATACAT